CCTCTCTCTCTCTTCTTTTTTTCTCTCTCTCTCTCTCTCTCTCTCTCTCTCTCTCTCTCTCTCTCTCTCTCTCTCTCTCTAACAGTCTGGCACAATCATATGCTTTGTTTGTGGACTTCGTCTATACGACTCGATAGTGAAGATGATAACACACAAAGACAAACACTTATGACATGTAGGAAAAAAAAAGAAGTTATCACCCGAATAAAATGCCTGGTCATTATAGTTGTATCTGAGCTAAGTTTCAGCCCAGATACAGCCATAGTGACCGCGCGTTTTATTTCAGTGAAGAAGGTCGCTGCAGTGTCATGTTTGTAGTAGTAGTGTTAGGTTTCGTCGTCGTCGTAGTAGTACAAGGAGTAGGAGTAACGTGGGAGTACTGTAGAGGTGGGAAACTGCATTTTTGTAAAAGTCAGGAAGTGGCAAGGAAGTGAAAATACAAAGAAATTGAGGGGAGAAACGAAGAGGAGGAGCCGTATCCCTGGGGCTTGAGCCGCCTACTGGGGGGGGGTTGATAAGGTCCGCCGCCCACCTCCCACCTCTCCTCCTAGGATACCCGCTCTGCTAGCCGAGAAACACCTCGGTACCCAGTCGCATATCAGAGCCAGCAGCTAGGAGGGGAGGTGCATGGGGGGGCGAGTCCATCAACCACCTGGGCATGGACGCCGCCAACAAAGAGGGTCCTGATTGTCCCTGTCCCAAGCATCGTTTCCAAAGGCCATTCACATCACCCATCCCATTCTAGTATGTACAGTTACTTAACACACATCCCAACCCGAGCCCAAAATCTGGCAACACTGTGTTAACCCACATTACTGCCGACCTCGTTCCTTTGAGAGGCACATTCCATCTATACACTGATCGATCTATGCTTGCCGGTGATAGGCAACCGGACTGCTGCCCCCCAGAATAGATGGGGCCTTTGTTTCTGTTGAAAAAAAAAAAAAAAAAAAAAAAACACAAAGAAAGGCCTGCTTTCCTTTCCAGCAGGTGACAGAGGGTCCAGTAGTTTCATTTGTACACAGGTCAGTACCAGTCACTTTCAGGGTGCTCGGCGAAACGCATTTCCCGGTTCATCACTTTAGGTTCGGGAACCACCAGTTCCCACCACTCTGAAATTGGCCATATAGCCCCTTTGGCACCAAGCATCTGGAACCCGACAAAAGAAATATTCTCCAGTTGAAATCACAGGGCCTTGTTGACTGGTAGGCCCATACAATGCAGAGGTCGGCAGCGGTTTCAAGAAAAGCAAACTTTGGCAATTCTTCAAAATTTTGGAAAAGAGAAGGTATGTAGACTATGTGCCAATCTCCCGAGGGATGCAAAACTATTTTCTTATTCGTAGTTATTTCTAATTTCCCCACTGCCACAAGTAGGGTCCAAGATTCAGGGGGGAAGAAATGGCCCCAACCTGTGCACCGAAAAATAAACAGACAGGCACAGGCCTCGGTTTGGCAGGTGCTGCCATCCATTTTGATTGGGCTGCCGACCCCAAAATATTGCGGGGAGCATGCAAGCAGTATCTTTGAAAAAATGGCTGGGAAACGTAGGGGTGGCTTTGAACAAGCTGAAGAAAACGGGCACATAGATTATTGCTGATCTTTCCAAGAAAAAAAAAAAAAAAAGTTCCAAATCCTGAAAAAAGTTCTTGCTGTAAATTGGCGCACTTAGCTCTTTTTTTTCCATCATTTGTGCAGAAACTGTACGTAGTACGCCGAAACGTTGCTACCATTACGCGGCTTTTTTTACGCCTTCCAGATTTTTATGCAATTGTACCACTGGACCAAATACTGCTCCTCTGAATTACAATGTGTGGGGTGTGCTGGTGTTTAAAACAGGCGAGCAACCTCACACAGAAACTGTCTTTCAAATTTCAATCAAATACTGTACCAAATACTAACCGAAAAACCGCGCCCGTAATCTATGCTCATTACGTAAACAAGCTATAAATTACATGAATTTCTCAAATGCCCCAGAATCTGTCCATCTGGCCATTCCAGGGCCCAGTCACACTAACATAGAGCATTAGATCAAATGTCTGAATCTGAATGTGTTTCGTGATGAGATACAGATTGAGATCAGTTGTGATTTTCTGAATGCCGCCACAAACACGTACAGATTCCGGCATCAAACCCAATCATCTTTGCTTGTGGGACCTCGCCTGAGAGATCTCGACCTTCCACTGCCACTGCTTGAGAAATGCTGACGCGCAATGGATGATGTGTGCCGCTGACCTCTGGTGGAAGAATGCTGCATGTCATACATGTCCATGTTAATGCAGTATGCTGGAAAACAATATGGTGGTTAAACCACCACTCTACCCGACGTTGTGAAAGTCGGGGGACCGTTAGCACATGTTCATGAGGGCTACCGGTAGCATAGTGTGGAGACCCCGCAGAGACCCAAAAATGAAAGTCTGGGGACCGGTAGCACATGTTCATGAGGGCTACCGGTAGCATAGTGTGGAGAACCGGCAGAGGCCCAAAAATGAAAAATCCGCCAACTAACCGCCACCACTTATTTCGTGATTAAAACGATTTTTAAAAATTTTTAGAATATTTTTCCTGGAAAGATCACGACCAGATCTATTGACCCTCCGATTTTCAGATTTTTTTACGATTTCTTCTGAGCGCGAAAAATCGCTGAAATTGGGGTACATTTCCCGTTGGCCCACAAGCAGTAGAGTGGCAAAAACCAAGAATGAGACAAATGGGCGCGCCATTTATTTCACTGAAAATATTTTTTTAATATTTTTCATCGAAAAGTCACAACCAAATCTACAGACTCTTCAATTTTCAGAGTTTTCAAGGCATTTTTCGGAGTGCAAAAAATCACAGAAGTTTCAGGAGGCCAAGCCCGCCGTTGATAAATCTGATCGGCAGCCGTCGTTTCGTTTCAGCCTCCTGAAAGGTCGGAGGCCGATTATTTTCGAACCCACAAAGGCACTAGTGGTTTAAAGGATGAAAAATTAAAAAATACTTTCAAAAAGTTTTTCAATTATTATGATAATATTACTTTTGTTTAAATTTTTGATTTTTTTCCTCGAGTTTGGTTGGGAATTCGGGGATGACTCCCTGGCAAAAGTCGTTTGTATCCTGATTCTGCATCACATATAGTTGTTACAGAATTTTGTTTTCATTTTCTTCTGTTTTTTCCTTTTTTTTCTATCTTCATTTCAATTTCTTTGTTCTTTGTGTTTTTGACTTTTAAGTTTTAACTCGACTTTGGTACAGAATTTTGAGACGAGTCTCAGGCAAAAGTTGTTTGAAATATCATTTTGCATAACATACTTTTTTTCAGATTTTTTCGATTTTTTTTTTTTTTAACGTATTCCCACGTATGGGATTACATGTACGCGCGTATGTGTCATGTACAGGAATACGTGTACACGTACGTACGGGATTACATGTACGCGCGTGTGTCATGTACAGGAATACGTGTACGCGAGTACGCGCAACCAGCCATGCTCCCCAGATTTATGGGATAATAATGTGATAAGTTGTACAGGGTTGGGCCCCCACCTTAGAATCGCGGAAGCGGCAAAAAAATAATAACATAACATGCAAGAGGTGCAATGTGAAGTGCAATAGGCCCCACCCCTATTGCATAGTGCGCACACCAATACATGAAGGCTGAACAAAGCAACTTTCTCAGTCTTCTTTTGCCATTTCTTTTCCGGGGGTGGGGGTGGGGGTGGGGGTGGTGAATTGGTAATGGGGGGAGGAGGGGTTAACAATCACCACTGCACTGGACCAAACATCAACGTCCAGATGCATAGATATGCATAATCAGACCGGTCTTACGATGTGGAGCCTTTAAAATGCTTGTGGTATTCACGGTGTCAGCGCATGTGTGGTGAGCCTTTAAAATGCTTGTGGTATTCACGGTGTCAGCGCATGTGTGGTGAGCTTTTAAAATGCTTGCAGTAAGTGTGTGCGTTGATGCGTGGTCATGTTCACTATACACGACTGCACGTGGTGCCTTTAAAATGCTTGCAGTATTTGTGTGTGTGTGAAGTGTGCTCCCTCATTTTGCTCTTTTTGCTCTAAGAAAGAGCATTAATTACACACAATCCATATGGTGAGTCTGGTAAATATATTTCGACACCATCATTACCCTGCAACAGCAAGTATCTGAAACATCACCATTATGACATGAAAAATGGTGACACAGACGTATAAGACAAAAGGACAGCCAAAATGCACCGCTGCTTATGAGAATGAAGCGCCCACCTTGACAGATAACACGAATGAGAGGCAGTTCTCCCCTTCTCTTCGGTGAGTAGCACCTCGCATCAGGAGCGAGAAGAACAGATTTTCAAATGCGACAGATCTTCGACAACCAATCCTATTATGTGTGTGTGCTCTGAACATGAGCAAATGTTGGGATGGGACTAGGCAATGCAAAAGGGCATACCGTGAAGATGAAACTCAAGCCACCGCAAGCAATATGTTCCCGTACACCAGCAGCATTCACACTCTCCTACCGCTGATGACCTTCATGCCTGCGGGCCTTTGGGTCTCACAGCAATAAAGTCTTCGAAGGAGGGAGGGGAAGCAAAGACTGGGAGTAGGAGGCGGCGAGGCGCACAATCTTTTGTGCCTAGGGCGCTTTGTGCCTAGGGCGCTTTGTGCCTCACAGTAAGAAATTCTTAAAAGGAGTAGGTGGCCCACAATGGAATACCATGGCGATGAAACTTGAGCCCCAAGCACATTATGCTCCCTTTGACCACCAGCGTTGACCTTGTCTTACGACCCTGTCTTACACCTGCAGGCCTTCATGCCTCACAGCAAGAAGTCTTAAAGGGAGGAAGGGGAGGAAAACTACGCGCTGATCGGAAAAGATCAAGGCGACCTGTTACTGGGGGTTTTATCCGAACCAGGTCTCAAAGTTTATGACACCGACGATGACCTGGAAGAGGCTGATGTGGGCAAGCAACGCATGGATGTGATGTGGACTGCTAAAAATTGTACTGCGGATGAGAATTCAGGCGCCGCGAGGGGGGTTCAGGAGAGGGGGCTGGGGCCCTGTTGGCGTGGCAACAACAAACATTGGAGCTTGACGTGACAACCATAATATGTGGAGCAGAAGCAGGGATTGAAAGTGCTCCACGGAGTACGAGAGGAGCAGAGAGAGGAGGAGGGTGGGGTTGGACAGGGAAAAGGAAAGAAGAGGATGGAGGGAGCGTCCAAAGGACTGCGAAAATGCAAAAGGAGGCGGATTCGAAGAAGGGAGCCGTCGTGGGGAAAGGAAATGGAAGAGCACGATCGGTAGTGGGGACAGAAAAAGACAGGAGCAGGAGGGTAGGAGGAGGAGCAGGAGAGATGCCAGATATGGTAAGACGAGGAGGGAGATGAAGGGGAGGAAGAGGATGAGGAAGAGGAGGAAAGAGATCGTCGGAGGAAGAGGATGAGGAAGAGGAGGAAAAGAGACCGTCGGAGGAGGGATCCCAGAGTAGTAAGAAGTGGAAGAGGAGGACGAGGAGCAGAAGCAGGAGAAGGAAGAGGGAGCAGAAACAGGAGGGGGAAGGGCAGAAGCAGGAGGAAGACGAGGAAGAGGATCAGGAGCAGGAGGAGGAGGACGAGAGGAGATCGGAAGAGAAAACAGGAGATAGAAGGAGAAGAGGAAGTCCAACAACTGAGAAGGGAGGATAGGAGCAATAGGGAAATTTGGAGGGAAGAAGACAAGGGAGGTGAAGTAGGATAGATCTATTCACGTGGCATACGTGCCCTGATGGGAAAGGAAGCATCGTTCTCACAAGCAGAGGCCCATAGAACCCGCCAGCTCCCTCTCGTTGCTCTCAATATCCATCATTCACTCTAACACCTCTTGTTGGCGTAATAGCACGTCGTATGCGTAATAATGTTGCCGATGTACTCAACCCCTGCAAACTTCCACGTAGCATCTGATTAAAGCATGCTCCTGCTTGAGAACCTAACGACAAAGAGGTGGACATCGACAGACACCATTACTTCCACGCTGGCAGATCCATGTGGCATTGGACACGTCACTGGAGAGATGCACATGACACACAACGAAACGCTGCCTTGAGACAAAAGTGGATGGCATGCTCACAGAGATCACCCCACCATCGGGATCCACGTGGCTGATTACTAGATTCACTAGATGCTGGCAGATCTACACGGCAGATTCAGAGAGCCCGGCCTCCAGCCTTCGTCTCAGGAAGACCGCCGCAGAAGTAACTCTGTGAAACTTTCTATGCCCAACAGAATGGACGGTCCAAGGAGAGAGAGAGAGAGAGAGAGAGAGAGAGAGAGAGAGAGAGAGAGAGAGAGAGAGAGAGAGAGAGAGAGAGAGAGAGAGATCTTATATCTAGCCCTCCAGAACTAACCGACACAGGAATATATAGCAGACAGGTCCTAGTGACAGATTTCACGGAAGGTGGGGCACCTCCGTCCCACAAACAGCATTATACTGTCACCAAGCAATAGCCTTTGTGTGATCAATCAAGTTGCCAGGTGACGGAAGATCAATGGCCATGAGTGACTCATGGCATATAGTACTATCTTCTACCAATCACACTGTCAAACACCCCTCCATCTCCCTCCCTCTCCTCAGACAACCTCTCGATCGAGCGAGCGACCGGTCGATCGACTCTATATGACACTCGATCATCATCCACCAGAAAGACACAGAACAGAACAAGATAGAAGCAAGGACGTCGACCTGTGGTATGAGCGACTTACAACCGATAGTTAATAGCTGGCGCCCCTCCGCAGCATCATCAGCACCAAGCGTTCCCCATCAGCACCAATCTGTCATTATCCCCTCCAATGATTGCCCTCTTCCTCATCCTCATCCTCAGTCATGGCCGCCAGCAACCATCTAACGTCTCTCGTTCCCCTCCCCCTCCCTCATCTCGCTGTGCTAAAACTTTTTCACTTCTGTCCGTAGTCCGTTCCGAGAGAGAGAGAGAGAGAGAGATCCCCTCCCCCTCCCTCATCTCGCTGTGCTAAAAGTTTTTCACATCTGTCCGTAGTCCGTTCAGAGAGAGACACAGAGAGAGAGAGAGAGAGAGAGAGAGAGAGAGAGGCTCATCTGTCAATCCTGGCCGTCGACATCTTCCAACTCATGGACGACGTCGCAAGTATCGCTGCCATCCACGTGGGCAAAATCTAATCTCCCCTCTCTGCTAGACGAAGATACAAGAAACGCAATCCAAATCAGAAGTCTGAGTACCTGACCACAGTCATTAACCCTAGTTACCAGATCAGGTGTTAGCACACAGGGCACATGGCGCCAGTCCAGACCGATGACGATCGCAATCAATGAGCCCCCTCTCGGTCGCATATTCACTTTCTGTAATCAAATACCTACGCGTGATCTTTTCTTCACGTGACCCACTACCGCAAAATCACCCCATCACTGCTGCAAATTGATGGCTGGGTGGATGGGTGAACTGATGATCAGACTGGCAACAGGGTAAAAACTATAATAGCATTGCTGCTAGAAACCCTAAATGTGACGTGCATAGCCGTACCGATGATACCGATGATCTGGACGTCAATCAATACCGTAATTACAAACCCTATCAGCGAGGGCTTGCTACCTTCCTGTCTTCCACCGAAAACAATGCCCCCTCGTCATGAACGTATCGGACCGGAAAGATAGCTTGCATACATTCATGATCAGGGTGCGTTGTGTTCGGGGGCAGACAGTAGGGGACGTTTAAGGCTTGGACACATCGGGTGTGGAGAGGGGAAGGGGAAAGCAGGTAAGGGGCAGATTACAAAAACTATGCAACTGCTATATACTCTGTCAAACAGACCTGCCTGGTAAACCGTAGTAGGCAGAGTGGGAGACAAGTATATAGATGTATATATAGCACACGGCACATCGCAAATCATTGACAGGCTGCAAACAGGCGCGAATCTGAATGGAGACCGCAGGTGGTCGGCGACGGTGGAGGCAGTACCCCCCCCCCCTCCCTCCTCTGGACAAGCCACACATTTGTTTTGATCTTCTCTTTCTTTCCCCCTCGCCTCACTGAAAAGAGAGCTGAGCTCTGTCGGCGGGGAAAATTTGACGGCTGAAAAAAGATCTGAGCTCTGTCGGCGGGAAATTCGACGGCTGAAAAGAGAGCAGAGCTCTGTCTGCAGGAAATTCAACGGCTGAGAAGAGAGCTGAGCTCTGTTGGCGGCAAATTTGACGGCTGAAAAGAGAGCTGACCTCTGTCGGCGGCAAATTTGACGACAATCACCTATAACGTCATCCAGCGGAAGACTGCTGAACTTTCTGCCGCCATGGAACCTCCGGCGGAGATCCACTGCGAAGCTGAAGCTAATGTAAGTACACACTTCGGAGTCACCCACCGCCGAACCAGAAGTCGCGGGTTCAAATCCCGTTTTTCCCGCCCACCGCCGAACCAGAAGTCGCGGGTTCAAATACCGCTTTTTCCCGCCCAACGCCGCATAACCGCCGGACGGCCATATACACTGAATGTTACCTGTGCCGTAACATTAAACATTCAGTGCATATGGTCGTCCGGCGGTGATGCGGCGTCGCGTTTTTTTCCGGCCCAACGCCGCATCACCGCCGGACGACCATATACACTGAATGTTACTTGTGTTCCCGCCCAACGCCGCATCACCGCCGGACGACCATATACATTGAATGTTACCTGTGCAGTAACCTAACATTCAGTGTATATGGTCGTCCGGCGGTGATGCGGCGTTGGGCGGGAAAAAACGGGGAATTGACGACCGAGAGTTACCACAGTGATTTTGCGTTCCGAAGAGAAATGAATGGCCGACACAACTCACCGCAGGAAGAATGAAAAAACTTTATTATTACGTATTACTAGTTAATGGCTGAATGACTAATCAGAGGAGAGAAGCTCTCGTGGTGAAGGACACGTCATCGTCTTCATCATTTTCATCGGCATCATCAGCGGATTCGGCGACTGGGCGGGATCATCATCAAATTCGTAAAAAGGGTGGGCATCATCATCAAAGCTTTTGGGAAGATACGCATCGCCAGGATACCATAAAACTGGCGGGCGCCGGTTCTTCCCAAAACGGCGGGAAAAACAACAAGTCGAAGACTGCAGCACCCGGGAAATGACAAGTTGGCGCCCTAAAGGTCTGGCATATAATCGGTCGGCCGCAAGAAAACCGGCGGGAATGCAGAGGGTTTTGCCGCGGAAAAGGGGCGGGAAAGACCACCACCAGCAAGTCTTCTTTTGTCTGTTTTGTCTGACCGATATCAGAACAACGCACTGAAAAACTCACAATGTGTAGAGTGTATGTCCACTTTCCCGCCATTTTCCATCTGGCCATTGTCTCACCAGTAGTACGTCCCGTTTCCCGCCATTTTCGTTCCCGCCATTTTTGTTCCCACAATTTTCGTTCCCGCCATTTTTGTTCCCACAATTTTCGTTCCCGCCATTTTCGTTCTCGTCCCGCCATTTTTTAATCTGGTCATTGTCTCGCCAGTAGTACGTCCAGTTTCCCGCCATTTTCGATCTGCTGGTCAATCTCTCGCCAATGATTACAAAATCATCATCATAATGGCAAGTAGAACCGCGACGAGGCCGGAGAAAACACCAAGCGATAACTGAGACGTGTTTTTCTACGATAGCAGCAGACAAGGCAAGACAGGAGCGCCTGAATCTGGACGTGTTTGTGGCCAGGTGCAGCAAAGAGGACGATTGGATCCTCTGTGCCAAAAAGAGTTCTACTGTAAATCCACACCCCTTTTCGCACCTGATGATGTACTCACTCCCTCCTCTTCACTCCTCCCACCGCTGCCGCCGCCGCCGCCTGTCCCTGCTGGCCCCCCTGATTCTGCCCCCGCTGCCAGCTCTAACCTCTCGTACTCTTGAAGCATCAGCTTGGCGTCGGCGGCGGCGGAGGAACCAGAAGACAGGGGAAGAAGAGCGACCGTCTCTAGTGGAGAGAGTTCAGGAAGAGAGCGGCGATTCACCGTGCGATGATGCTGGTGGTTTGCAGAAGAAGAAGGCTCAGTCGCGACCGGAAGTCCCAATACCGATCCCAATCCCGGTGATGGATGGCGCTCCATGGTCTGCGGAACAGGCGCTGAGATGTCCGTCTTCAGAAGAACGAACTGATTGGTGGACCTCTCCCTAATCTCTCTATACTCTTGGCACACAGCGCACCAGGGGCACCAGTAATGAGTGCAGGGATCCATACAAGGGCCCTCCTGCAAGTTGTACTTGGTGCGCAGCTTTCGCCTTTGCGAAAAGGTGTAGCAAGACCCGAAAGACAAGAAATACCATCCACACGCACCGGCCAACTTCAGCCCCACTAACCTAATCAACACATCCATCAAGCAGTACAGCACACACGGACCTACCCATGGCTTGTCGCTAAGAGCGGCAACGTTCCGACCGAATAGAACGCAGGGGCACCAACACCCTAGGCAACAGCTGTCCAGGTCATCACAACACGCGCAAATACCAGATACCCAACGCTGAGGAGGATCAGGGAGGCCAGGGATAGTAGAGGTGGCGGCACCGCCTGAGGCCTCCCGCAAGGAGGAGGAGGTGGACGTAGCAGCACCTCCTCCCCCGCCTCTCCCTTGACCGCCATCGCCACTCTTCGGTCGTGCGGAAGAGCCAAGCAGCGCCATGGGCTCTGCATCTTCTTCGTTCTCCAATGGCACAAACACTGGAGGTCGATACGGTCGATTACTCATCTTGATGACTAGACCGACGGAAGAGACAAAATACCAATCAACCTAATTGACTGTGTGCGTCCCTGTGTGTGGGCAATTAACCCGACAATCAATCAGCCAATCAATCAATCAATCAGAAAACAATCAATCAATCAATCAATTAACTGTGTGCGTCCCTGTGGGCAATTTACCCGACAGTCAATCAGCCAATCAATCAATCAATCAATCAATCAATCAATCAGTTCGTAGGTTCTCAAACCGTAAGACCCTAAATAGGTCCACGCATGATGATGCACCACAGTCAGCAGTTCAAAGCGAGTCACAACAGTCTAGGCCGCGTTAGATAGGGATGCTAAAAATTGTCAAGAAGAGAAAAGATAGCTGCTATTGCACATAGGGGACATATCAAAAATCACAGCGATTCCGCAGAGCCCTTCTCCAGACAATAGAGACCTCCTCCAAGGGGGAACGAACGTGACAGCAGCCAATTGCCGCCGACTGCCGACGCTTCGCGATTGCCAAAAGACACCACGGTCCTATCTGTAACCACGTGGAGGGGGAGAGCGATCTTCCAAATTGCACGTGGCAGCAGCAGATTGTCGATGTTTTGCGATTCGCAAAAGATAACAAGGTCCTATTTGCAACCACGTGGCGGGCGATCTGTCAGATTAAACGTGACAGCAACTGATTGCCGATGCTCCGCGACTGTCAAAGGACACGTGAATGTCCCACGTGCGAACACGTGGCAGCAGAAGATTCGTGAAGATTCGTGTGACGACGCGACGGGCGATCTTCAAGGGCCACGTTGAAGGAGCCGATTCGTGTGACCGGACACTTGTCAGCAGCACATTCGTGGGACCATGTGGCGGGCGACCTTAACGGGACACGTGGCACCACGTGGCGGGGCGATCTTCACGGGTCACGTGGCAACAGCATTGCGACTGGCAGAAGACACCGATGTCCTACGTTTAACCACGTGGCAGAGGATCTCTTTAAGGGAGACGGCAACTCAAATAGCAGAAGGGGACAACAGCTCGGCGACAAATGACTTGGAGATCGTAGTAGCAGAGATTCGATCCGGACCGGCAGAGATTCAATTCGGACCAGCAGAGGTTCGATTCGGACCAGCAGAGATTCGATTCGGACCAGCAGAGATTCCATCCGACCCTTCGGCAATGGTGGAGACCAAGGCCAAGCAAAGCTTGCTCCTGCAATTAAAATAGAAAATAGAAAATAGAAAATAGAAAATAGAAAAATTTTGTGAGCACAGCACAGACCTTCAGGAGCTCGTCGGAGCAGAGAGATTCGAACCTTCGCCTATGGTCGAAGACAAAGCCAAGCAAAGCCGCCGTCTTCACCCAAATAGAACGCCCGGTCGTTATAGCCGGATCTGGTACAATTTTCAGCAGTCCAGATACACAGCTATAAGGACCCGGAACAGCGGACAATCACAAAAACAGAAATTGTGAACACAAAACTTCGGTTTTTTTTGGAGAGGCGGGGGAGGGGAGGAACAGTTTTTTTTTATTAGGGCCCAGTGCCCAAGGCAAAAATGCAACAACGTCAAGGAGCTGCAATTTCAGGGGGGTCGCAAGGCCCCTCCAATCCCCCGCTTCGTTGAGTGGAACCCCTCCTTTGTAGAAAACCACTGTCTAGAATCCCAAAAAAATATGTAGAAAATGCCCCAAAAATCCCCACCACTACACAAGAAATTCATCAAACACCACAATGGAATTCCTAATTAGGATTGCTAATAGTTCCCAAGTCCAAATACACAATAAAATTCGTAATTAGGCTTACCATTTTTAATTCCCAAGTCCCAAGTCCCGCTCTCAAAAAACACCAAAAAAAAAAAACACGACAACGCCTACCTAATTAGGCTTATTAATCCGAATGTTTACTCCGACAAGAACACCAAGGCTCCGAAGAAGAAAAAAAAACACCAAGGCAAAACCAAAGAAGAAGAAGACAACCAAAAAACGACAAGTGCCTATCACCATAAGACTTGCTGGAATGTGCCAAAGGCCGCTGAGGGCACAACCAACCCTAATTAATCCGAGAGACACAAAAACATTCACTATCGCGTAACAGGAACCAAAACTAACACACAGAAAACGAAACTAAATCATACAGGAGATCATAAGAACAGCGATTCGTCAAAGGCGGCACTCCCCCCACGGCAAAGCTCGCACCCCACTATAAGATTTGCACCAAGGAAAACAGAAACAGTCCCCTAATATCGACAATCCGCCTAACACAGCGCTCTCCCGCGGTAAGCCTCGACGTGACAGTCTTTTCCAGCTGGGCAACAGCCAATCGCCTGCAACAATCGCCCATCACCCTCTGACTTGTGGTAAGTCAATCCACGATCTGACTCGCAACAATCGCCCATCACCCTCTGATTTGCTGTAAGTCAATCCACGGTCTGACTTCCAACAATCGCCCATCACACTATGACTTGCGGGAAGTCAATCCACGGTCTGACTTGCAGGAAGTCAATCCACGGTCTGACTTGCGGGAAGTCAATGCACGGGCAGAGATATCGTCATGCTCCGACAAGCTTCACTCCCCTGGACAGTCGATGACAGGACCACGTGCAGCGAAGCGGCAACAGCAATAGATAGAGATACCGATCAAAAGAGCGCCAAATCTCAAAAAAGACCAAACGCACCAACGCGCCGATCCCGGTTGCAATAGGTTATAAATAGGGTATAACAGCACGCCACCCTCACTCCCAACCTAATCGTCAGTAGCGTTAGACAAACTCCATAGCTGCTATGTCGATGAGATATGGCAACCGGGATCCCGGTCGCAGGTGCTGAGACGCCTGGGCATGCTGACGTCAGGCAGACTGCCTCACCCGGCAGACGCGGACGGCCCGGAGCGCTCGGCCGCCGTGCAACCTGCTGCAGGTGCAGGTGGGGCTCATTAAGGGCCAGATCCCACTAATACCTATTGTTCATTTCTAACCGTTGATCTTCGTAATCGAGGGTGAAAAATAATCCAGAGTAGTGGGATCTGACCCTAACTTCAGTCACACACCAACTGGCCTACAGTAGCTCAGTTGGTACACCCATTAATGACAATATCTCAAGATCAGTCACCCTTTTTTATATTTACTGAAAGAAAAAAAAAAATTCAGCCAACGGAAAATATAGCTGAGAAATTGTAGGTGAATGGAAAACGAATTTTCAGTTTCAAAAATTCAATTCAGTTCATGACAATGACCGTTTGCGGCTAAAGAAAACTGAAAAAGAGTAGCCAGTCAGTTCGGATATATAGCCAACCGGTTTAGTCGGCCGGGGAGKGGGGGGGGGGGGGGAWCAYTTTTTAGGTCTGGATTTAGGGGGGGTGGAACACTTTTGGGGTCTGGATTTGGGGGGGGGGGGAAMACTTTTTRGGTYTGGATTTRGGGGGGGGGAAACACTTTTTGGGTCCGGATTTAGTCGGCCGGAGGAATCGTCCCCGATTAATCCGAACGGAAAACAAAAAATCCCGCTCTGTCAGAAAAAATATACTAATTTTTATATCAAGGAAAGGAAAACAAGTAGTAGAGTGTGACAATGGAAAAAGAAACGAAAAAGAAGTCTGGACCTGACCTTCTAGGATTTATTTTTTGAACGCACGTGCTGCTCCATACGCCCGGTCGTGCCCGAAAGCACGGACAGACCGAGAATGAAGGGGAGGGGAGAACAAACCGAAACTCGAAGGGAAAAAAGAAAGCATAACGCGGGGAATGGCACACTGGGACGGCAGACACACAGAGAAAGAGAGAGAGAGAGAGAGAGAGAGGGAGACGGGAATGAATCTTCCCGCGTTGTTGCGGAAGATTCAATCCCATTTTGCATGTTACAAGTAAAGCCAGTGGGGTGTAAAGATAGAGAGAGAGAGAGAGAGACGGGAATGAATCTTCCCGCGACAACGCGGAAGAATAATTCCCATTTTGGATGTTACAAGTAAAGGCAGTGCGGCTACGCCAGCACACATGGATATGCCAATGAGATATTCGGGGTCTATGTAAGTATCCATCTACAGATCTCATGCTCTCTCTCTCTCTCTCTCTCTCTCTCTCTCTCTCTCTCTCTCTCTCTCTCTCTCTCTCTCCCCCCCCCCCCCCTTCCCCCCCCCTCTACCCGCTCGCCTTTTTCCCGTTCTTCCTTCTCCATTGCCTCCCTTCCGCCTGGCATATTCCATTCTTTATTTACCTTTTTCTTTTTATACAAGAAAAACTCTGCTCATTATGGGGGGATCGAGGGCGCAAGTTGGAAAATGGAATATACGATGGGCCTATTCCATTTTTCAACTTGCGCCTCCATCCCCCCAACCTGAGCAGAGAGGTAGAAGGGTAATCACGGCTGTTTCGGTGGCATGCCATGGACAGGACGTGTACTCTGTGAAAGTAAAGCCTCGCACGTGTTGTCCAATATTGCAAGTGTTTATGTGTGTGTGTGTGTGTGTGTCTGTCTGTCTCTTTCCCCTTTCCGCTCCCCTCTTTTCCCTTTCTTTCTTCCCCCTCTTTTCCCTTTCCTTCTTCGCCATTGCCTCCCTTCCGCCTCACCGATTCCTTCTTTCAACTTTCACCCTCCATTCCCCCTCCTGATCTTCCCCCCACCAATCTGATAACACAAAAAAACAATCCGATATTCAGCATCCTCTTCTCTCCTAGTCCTGTGTCTGTCGCCTCTCTCTTCCCGCCGTCCTCACCCCTTTCTCTCCTCCGTTGGGATGCTTTCGAG